CCATTTAGAAAGCAAAATGGTGGCATTTCTTTAATTGTCCCTTGCAGTTTTACTATGGATGTACATGCGTTGTGGAGTTAATACTTGCCCCCCAGCCCCCGATCGGCACTATGATAGCTGGCCAGAATGCTGTTTAGCCAGAAGAATTTTCGTAAGAGGCTCAGTAAGAGACCTCTGGAATGAAGGCTGATTAATTTTCCTCTTCCCCCAAGTAGTTGCACTGTGCTGTCTTTAAGTGGTTGCTATAAATAAATCACTTCTGTTTTCCCTTTGTCACTGAGAGCTGTATTGTATTCTGAAACTGCTCATCTATTCTTCCTTTAATGTTCAGCTGCTTCTTGCTATACTCCCAGTGCTTAATAAGCAGATGTTGTAATAAGATATTTAATGGCAAATACATTTGTTCAGTTGTGCCGAATAAATGGCACACTTGAACTCTGACTAAAATAGATTAAACCTCTGCAGCAGTGTCATTGTTTCTGCTGCCTGTCCCCAAGATTCAGCTGGCACTTTACCTTGCAGGTGAGTCAGATGGGAGCATAGGTATCTCTCTCTGTAATAGTGATGCTCATCAGTACTGAGACTGATGAAACCAATGCATGTTCCAGGGCTCTTTCTACATGGCTTTTTCTACATTTTTGCAATGTTTTTTTTAAAACCTGTTGGGATTTAAATCACTAGTGGCTGGCTCACTACATATACACATGATATAGATTGCTATTAGGAGAAGGGTGGTTGGAGTTTGGTCTACGAGGGTCATTTTGTTCATTCTTATGGACAGTAGCAGGGATGATTTAATCCCCTTTTACAAAATTTGAAAAAGTTTCAATCTGGGGGCAATTCAGTTCTCCCTCATGTGGGTGCACATTTCCTTTCAACTGTGGAGGCCATTAAGGTAGTGGTAAGTACAAGTTGTAGTCTGGCTATTAAGGGAAAGTTTCCAAACACTTCTCCCTTGTTAAAATGTAAAGGGCAAAGCTTCCCCTGAAAGACTCCACAATGATGCTTGCCACTGTCAAATTTGGAGGCTGTACTAACGATTCAGTAGAGGCAGCCTTACTGCCTTTATAACACGCTTCAACCAGTGTCGCTGCTGTATTTGAACTATGGCAGAAGTCCAGGTGGGTGCTTATGGCAGACAACCTGAACCCCTGAGCACAGCAGTCTCTTTCCAATTTTTCAATGAAGAAGAGTGTGTTTGAGCTCATCAAAATGTTTGGCAGCTTTCTAAAATGAATGTCAAACAAAATTCTGGGTGTCCATTCGGATTTAGGATACTTATAAAATGCTCCACCATCGGCCCTGTGAAGTCCCAGCTGTGTTTTCTTAGCAGGCAAAGCCTTCCTTGACTGTTTAAAAAAAAAAAGAGAGAAAAAAGAGAAAAATGTGATGTTGTGGTAGGAAGGCCATGGTATCAGTGTTCTCCTCTGTTTGCAAGGTTTCTGTTAGCTGGTAGCAGAGGGACATGCTTTGTGTAGTGTCAATACAAATATACCTACTTGGGCTCCTCAGCCTCTTCAGAAAAAGTGAGTTGAAATTAGTCTAGTGAATCTGATCCAGATGGATGCAAATGCTCTGCTTTAACCTGTGAAATGGAAAGTGCTGTGCCTTTGTGAGATGCAGCAGCAGGCATGTCCACCTTGGCTGGGTTGGCCATCAGCCGATCCTTTGCTGTTGTCCTTCTGCTGTTCTGTACATCATGGGTTGCATTTACAGCTTGCAGTGTTTCTCTGCGTGGCTAGCTGAGAGCTTGCAGGCATTTTCAGTGAGCTCCACCTTGTGCTGGACATGCCTGCATTGAGCAAATGCAGGCTTAATCCTTGTTGAATGCTGTATGTAGGGCCCCTCTCTGAGAAGCCTGCTTGTGTCCCAGACTTCAGATTGCAGCTTGATGCCATCAGAGCGGGTGGGATGAGTAAGAACCTAGAGCAAACTGACTTCAGCTTCTCTGCCTGACTGTTTGTGGGCAGTGATTCAAAGTGCTGTCTGTAGGTGTGGGTGTTGGATACTTGTTTTTTGCACCTGCTGTGGCAGGGTAGGCTAGGTAGGATGTGCTTGTTCCTGGAACTGAATATTCAAAGATCTTGGTCAGTTGAGAGCCTCCCTTCTGGAAGTCACTCACGGTGACACATTGACATAGCTTTTTATTTGCTGGCTGAATGTGTCCCTAGTTTAGATAGATGAATTAACTCAGAACCTCATTGCTGAAGGCATGAGCTACAGGTTATCTTCTTGATGATGATGATGGGCTGTAAGCAACCTTTCAAGTAGCTGTGGTTGAAATGGGGCAGTATGCCATATTGTCATGCTTCTATTTTTAAATGAAGATATGCTTCTGTTCCTGGGAGTATTGCCACCATACAGAGTGCCTTCAGGAGCCCACACAGGCTTCATGGAGGTGGCTTGCTTGGCTTTTCACGGGGGTGGTACGTAGCCTGTGAGCTGATCGTCAGAATGTAGCATCAGTGACAAACAGCTGCTGCCGCCTCTGGCTTCAACTTGACATGATGAGGGACCACCTTACCCCTAAAACATCAGGTGTGGGAACATCTCTGCAATATTGCCCTTGCAAATATGCCAGACTCTTAAACTTTGTGGACTGTAGCAAAGAGAATGTCAACTCTGAGTTCAACCCAGCAGCTTTTTATGAAATATATGCTATAAAGATAGAGGGAGAAAATATGTTTGTACAGTCATTTTTCTGCTTCTGTGAGTCAGCTTGTTCTAATGGGTTTTGAAGTGGATAGCTCATAATCGTTTGGGGTTTTTAAGTGCAGGTTGTATGCAGTGTTAGCTCACTCGAATTTCTGCTGTGCCATGATTGACTGGCCTAAAGTTACATCATCAAAATGTGATAGCCTTAAAATAACAAAAAACATGCTTTTTAATGCTAATTACCCATTGAAAAGCAGTGTTTTGGTTTTTTGTTTTTACTTTTACATTTAAACAGCAGCTTTGTAAGGCTGGCTTTATCTCATCTCTGCAAGAGCATATCGTAGTTGATTAAATCAATGCATCGGTGAGCAACATGTGGCTCTTGGGCTACCTGCAGCACAGGAGTAGTTGGAGTGTGGCTCCTATGCTGGGGCTGTGCAATGTGACCCGGAGCGTGGGCTGTGTTGGCCTAGGGCCTGTAGATAATCCAAATTATCCAAGCAAGTGGGAGGAAGCAAATTAGCGGAGGCTGGTATGGCTGTTACCACCTGATACCCAGCTGCTTCCCAAGCCTGTGGTGTAGCACGGTGATCCCTGTGGAGCAGTTGTTATATGTATCCTTTAAACCTTTCCCTTCCTTTCCTGCTCCTTGTGTAAAACTGGTCTTGTGACACTTGGCTGTATGAGGATAGGTTGGTTGGCAAGGTCTGGAAGAATGGTCAGCCCTTACCAGCAGTTACTGGATAGCAGCAAGCCATTTTCCTGTCAAAGCCTACTATTTCAGTGACCTCTTTTCTTTTCCCTTCCGCCGCCCAGTCTCCAGCTTCCCTATGTAGTCATGATTCTGTTCTTTGTGCTGCTTATTACTTATTTTGCCTAACTGTTGGGCTGGACCTCAGCCTTGGGAGCCTTTCTGTGGCCTAAATCGGCGACTCCGAGCAGCACAAGTTTTTTTATACGTTTTATTTTTGAATATATATATTTGTGTATGTGTGTATACACATACATGTGTGTGTATATATCTTCATAATGCACTAAACAGTTTTGGGTTTAAAGTTATGTGAGCTGGTCTAAGGTCTTGTTGCAGCTTAGTTGCACACCTGTATACACCTGGCATCGAATAGAGAGATAAGCAGGTAAATCAATACAGCGCTGATGAGAAATGCATTCATAACAGTGCGTATGAGAAAAGAGGTGGAACAACTCTTCATTTCTTGCTTAGAAAAAGTACCTGCAGGAGAACTTAAAGACCATTTTTCAATCTGTCAGAATTCCTTGCTGCTTTGTTGATTTGCAAACTTCAGTCATTTATGTGAGTAATAAGTGCATGGGATGGAGCTGTACTAGGCATCGGGCCATGGAGAACTGCGTCTTGAGTACTGTGATCTTGGCTTTAGATTCAAATCTTGTCTGTTGAGAAACTTAAGTCTGCAATTGCTTGATCAGTTGGCTACTTTGTTTAGTTAGATAAACTCTGAACAACTTCTGCTGGTGGTAATGCAGATAAATAATGCAAACAGTGTTTGTTTTAGAAGAAAGATACCATTTTGAAAGAGAAGGAAAGAAGAATAAGTTCTCTAGTAAAGATCTATTTGCTTTTAAAACTTAATTTATTCTGAATGAAATATTCAAGCTTGCATAACTAAAACAGTTGAAATTGAAACTTCAAAGTAAACTTGTTCTTAACCTCATTGAGGAGGGAAAACCAGTTCAAGATATAAACAAAATTAAAATGACTAAATCAAAACTGTCTGTTTTAATGTATATTGGAATGTCTTGCTTTTGCTGCACTTAACTACAGTACTTCATCCTTGCCTCTTACAACTACCAAACATGGAGAGAGGCTTTTACTGCACTGTTGGAGTGAAATAATTGGACTCCTCTCAGGGTAGCTTACTTAATTCTTATAATTTGGATATAGTACTTCCACGTGGCTCCAGTAAGTCTTCATTTACCTGTACAGTCTATGCCTGTGTACCACATGAGCATGCCAAAGCTCTTTGCACGAACAAAACTTGAACCTTGCAGGATTGCTTCAAGATTGTTATCTAAGGTTTGCCTTTCCTGATGCAAGTTTAAAAACAAGCAAAAAACCACACACAACACCCGCTCTACCCCCCACCCAGAAAACAACAAAAAACCCCCTCCACCTGGTAAAGACAGACAAGTCTGCAGCAGCTTTTCCAGCTGTGACAAGAACAAACAATTCCTGTTCTCCTTTGCCCATTTTTAATAGCATAGACTGTCCCAACATAAACTGTTCTTTACTGTTTACCCTCCATGAAACAGCAATCCTTCTCCAGTTGTTTGCATTGCAATAGCAGAATGCCTGTTTATTTTTCTAGCAATCAGAAATGGATTGTGGTGTTCATCTTAAGAAAACAAAAACTCAAGATTCTGGTAGGAACCATGTGCAGCAAGAGGAGGAGACCAGTCTTGCGAATACCTTGGAACATATTATGGGACAGCTGGATGTTCTGACTCAGGTATGGTTTGCTCTTTAATTTTGCAATGAAAAAGGTACTGGAAGAATTGGGAATATTTTGCAATAGTTTCATAGAATAAAAGTGTGACAAGTTCAAAACCTCTGCTTTTTAGTAGTTTTTGGATAAATCTGTCTTCATCTGCTTGTCAGCTTATCTCTAGCAGTTCCCTCACATCAACTTCCAGCTCAGGCCCTGCTCTTTCCCCAATTCCTTTATGCTGCAGTGTAGCAGAGTGCTACTTGGGCCAGCTCTGGTACCCTGTGCTGTTAGCCAAGGTTTATCTAAGGTGATGCCTAAAGGAGTGGTTGGCAGCAGGTCTCTGTTTTGGTGAATAATCTCTGTCTCTCCTCCCTCCTCCATTATACTGCAGTCTATAGGTAAACTCTATTCAGATCCCATTCCTTTCCCCCACCCAACATTCACCTACACAGTCCAATTTCTGCAGTATTCTCCTCCCATCAACAAGTCTGGGCCCTTCTGTGCCTCATCTTTGAAACATGCTTTTCACCCACAGCTAGCAAACAACTAATCCCTTGCTAAAGGATTAACATGCAGTTCTTCCTCAGAGTCACTAAGCAGTGCTTGAACAGTACCAACCATTAATGGTTGATCATCATAGTATGTGTTTACTTAATAAGAATTTGGGGATAGAGTTGTTTTTTGTTTAACTAAATAGCTGCTCATTGCTCCTGTGAAAAAATACCATTTCTCATCATTGTCTGGGGCTGAATTTCATTGTGTATTTTTGAAGTATGTGAGAAGCAGGGAGAAAGCATGGGATAGTAAACATTGGTGATGTCCTGTAGATGAGACCATGGTCGTAGGGTGGAAAAATCTGTGTGGGAGGGTTTTTCTATGAGTTTGAGCGTTGTTTCTGAGGAAGAATAAGCAGGTCTTGAACACTTGGTATTGAACATACTGATTACTAGTCCGAGTTAGCTCTCTGCTCTTGAGAAGAAGTACTTGTCAAAAAGTGTAAGATGATGGGTTGGAGTGCCCGTCAGGGGATTGAAGTAGGGCTGATTTAAGGATTAAAAAACATTCCAGGACTGCAGACAGTCTAAAATAGTGTAGGGTGAAAACCAAAAGGTATTTAAGTTCATTTGGCAGAAATGCAAGAGAGCACTTTTTTTGTGATCTCTAAAACGCTGAACACTGGTGGGGAGGCGGAAAAAACTCGTATGACATTGGGCCCTCATGCTTGTGAGTAAAATGCAACCCAGTGTATACAAAAAATATTTTATTACTGTTTTTACGTCTCCCTAGTAAGTTTGGAATGTGATCGTTATCTTTAATTACATAAATCAGATCCACACTTCTGATGATGGATGTATAGTGGCTCCTTTTCAACTTCATAGGTGTTTAGAGGAGGCAAATATTGCAGTAAACAGTATGTGTGGGATTTAAACTAGATATAAGCAATGCAAACATCTCTCTCGGAGATATTGTGTAACCACAGAAAATTCCAAATGTTGTTTTAAACCTAGCAGAAAGAGAGATTGAGATTAGTGGGGGAGGAATAAATTAGTGGGTTATAGGATAAAATTGGAAATAGGCCTGAAATTATAGTAAAAAACCAAAAAGCTGCCTTGAGTAACTCTGCATTCAGCAACCTTTTACCTTTTTTATAGCTCTTTTGCCATCCTCGAAGTACTTAATTTCCCATTGGTTCTGATCTTTGTATGTTGTATTTTGTATTAACATCATTTTAATGCATTTGTACAAGTAGATGTTCCTGACACACTGTTGAAATGGTTTCATAATTCTTCATTTTCATGCCAAGGTTTTGATATTTAGCAGTGAAACAAACCAACACTAAACAAACTTAAGCAAATGAGCCTGGAAGAAGTCCTCATTCCTAGAGTAAGGGAGGAGGTTCCTCAGAGGAGGGATGCAGGCAGGTAGCAAGGCAGAGCCGCGGAAGGTAACTCTGGAGGGCATCTGCTTGCATAGCTAAACTTCGTTTTTCCAATGCTGATGGCCTGTAACAGAGAAGGGAATGCAGCTCTGGTAGAGGCACTGTTACCCCTCTTTCGTGCAATTAAATGTGGACCAAGAGGAGCCATGGCTTGCTGATTGCTAACAGAGATGCAAGTGAAATGGAAGCAGCGGCTGGTGGTGTTGGGTTGGTTGTCTTTCCTAGCCATTTCGGCCAAAGCACAACTGGGTGCCGCTTCCTGCACGTAGCAGATTCAGATCAATGTTGTGTGTTTTATATGGCAGCTTTGGGCCTGCTGACCTCTTCTTCTGAAAGGAGGACACCATTACGCCTTCAAAAATGGAACGAAAAGCTTTCATAAATAACACATAACAGGTGTCAGTATTTTTCCCTTCTTGAAGCAAGGGCTAAGGATGCTCCTGGTGCTCTGTTACAAATCATTGGTTCATAATTCCTGAGTGTTGCTTGTTTAAAGAGAACACTAATGATATAAGCAGGGCCATACAGTTGAAAGGAAAGGACAGAGTCCCTGTGATATTTCCAGAAACCCTCTATTGATATAGCCATGGGTTTTTCAGGAATTTATAATTTGTTAGATTCATGGGAGCTTGGGTATTTTTCTGATGTGGTACCTTGAGTTCCTGTGCTCTTTGTTCTTGTTGTAGTTTCCAACACTGTGTTAACATGATGTAATGTACCAGTGGCGGAAATTTAAAATTGTGGTAAACTACTTTGGGAAATTATACAAATATAAACCTACTTTATTTTCCTAATATTTTTTCCGTAGCTATCATTTCAAGGTTTATCATGCTAAACCTGATATCATGTAAAAGTGGGAAGGAGAGAAAACACTTCCAATTTCTGCTGAAAGAGGTAATAGTAAGACATCAGCTGAAGACTGTCATCTCTTGCCAGTGCACAGCTTTGTTCTGAGCTGCACACTTGAAGCTGCATTGTCTGCTGCTCACCAATTATCAGTACCTTCCCTCTGTTGACAGTAGGTTTCCTGATGAAGTGGGGTGTCATGTACTTGGAGACAGTGGGATTGTTTTTATTCCATTAAGAGGTTTCTTCCTGCCAAACACCAATTGCAAGTAGAAGCACTGAGGCTGTAGAGGCGTTGTGCCCCGCGCAGCAGGATACACTTGAGCAGGCTTGCACCTTCAGTTAGGCACTTCAGCTCTTATTAGAGAAGGATGGGTCAGAAGAAACCCTAGTGGCTGTTATATACCATATCTAGCAGTAACCACTATAGCGAATAGATATGGCCCCCTCAGATTCACAAGGCTTCATTTTTATGTTGTTGACTTTGTGCTATGATTTTATTCTTTAAGGTTTTGGCAACTTTCTTTAAACTGGTCTTTGATTCAATGAAACCTTCCTCTCTTCCTTCTCACCAGAACTCTGTCAGGATATCTTTTGTTTTACTTGTAAGAAAGTGGTCTAATGTGACCTGACGGGGTCTTCATATTTTTTTTTCTAAACGTGGTTTGAATTTGGCTGTACTTCACATGCAAATAAAGAAGTTCATGTTTGACTGCCTTTTTCAGAAGAGTAGCACATGCTTAATAATTCTTCTGCCTTGAAGGGTGGAATGAAGTTGAGACCCAGACATAAGCCGGTTGCTTCCAGTAATTTTGGATTATTTAAAGATACCCTGGTGCCCCTTGGTAGGAAAGCAGGCAATTCAAATCTGGCAAAGGAATGAGGAAGGTGAGAGTAATAAATATATGATATAGATGCTTTGCTCCTCCCTTTCTGGCAGCTTAGTATCTTGTCAGTGTCTCAATGTTTAAAAATCCTGTTCTTTACTGGCATTTCAGAAATGTGAAAAGGAGAAAATGCAAAATGTTTATCAATTTTTTTTTTATTGAAGGCTGGATCTCAGTATCTCAGTGCCTATATGAAGAGGTGGGTTGAATATTAAAGTTTAAGGGGAAAACAAGGTGATTTTCTCTTGGATGGCTTCCTGGAACAGAAAGGTGTGTTTTGGCTGAAACAAAAATGGAGCAGATACTAGGAGTTTACTTGGTTCAAACGCATTTTCTGCACTTGCAGCTGAACTGCACTTCTGAAAGAAGATGATCTGTGAGTAACCGTCTTGGCTGCAGTGGAAAACTTGCATTTGCAATGATCATCTCCGAATAATTTGTATACTCTTGCCCTTACTCCAAATACCTGCAGATGCCATGTTCACGCTGTTAATCTGTAGCACTGGTGGGCAACAGGCACTGAGGCAAAAGCTGCTGGTTTTATGTGGGAAGGAAGATGTCTGCTCCAAACGAAGAGTTCAGAATCAGGTTAGCATAAAAATGCATAAATGGCTGCGATAATCCACCCACAGGAAACAGCTTTATATACTTCCCCAAACTAATCTTGCACCGAAGCTGGGAGAAAACAACACAGTGAAATGGAGACAACTTGATAAATCTGTAAATAATCCAAGCCTGAACTGAAGGACAATCTAGCTCATGTTAGATTAAAGGATTATTTCACTCCAGAAAAGATTGCAGAGGGAGGAGAAGAATTTTTTAAATGAAATTCTTCAGCATAAGAAAAGACTTTGACACGAGTTGCTTTTTAATTAAAACTGAAAATGTTTGTGTGTGCAATGCTTATAATGAAAAAGAGTAAGATCAAATTTGTTGCTCCCTTTTTTGAGATGTGGTCTCCAAAGCCTGTGTTGGTGAGGCATGAATGTGGCCCCTCTCTTCTGAGAGGTATTGAATGTAGATTAAGCAACTGGTTTAGTAAAATATATGCTTTTATGACCTTAAGGAGTTACCAGTCAAGAAGAAATTTTTTTTTTTTGGGGGGGGGGGGGGGGTTGGTGGTGGTGGTGTCATAAGTGCTGCTACCTCTGCCTTGCACAAATGTCTTGGTTTCTATGTTGCTCTCAAGACCTGAATACCCACTGGCTATAGGCAGACCCACACATAGGAGAAAAACTGCAGTTTTTATTCCAAAAGAAATGGTTTGAAATCCAAAACACTAATAAAAAAGTTCCCATCTGAAAAATCTGTGAAATGCCAGATGAGCTTGGTTTTTAAATCTTAATTTA